ATGCGTATAGTGTTGATCCGTTGACAATATATCGTAATAAAATGGAACAGGACAAAGTAATGTAATGTACCCTGTACTGTCAAATATGCACGCGTAAAAATAACCATGCGTAGAAATTAGATTTTAAACGCACATTATGCCCCAGGGCTAATTGGCAAAAATTGTTTAACAATTCATTATTTCTCTTAAAGAATAAGTTTCTACCACGTGTACTCTTAAATTTGTTCCGCTGTTTCAAAAAGATGTCACAACCGCTCAAAGAATCCCAAGCAAAGTGCTATTGAAGGGTAGTTGGATGAATACATACGTCTTCCATGATGATATTTGGACACGCAGTTTTAGACCTATTCTTGTTCTTTCTTAACACGACTCGTGTACAGATGTACTTAGTATTAAATTCTTCTTGACTTATTGTCAGTATGTGATAGCGACTTGAATGAAAAAAAAGAAAACAATGTAAGTGTATCTTTTTCACAATCTAGCTTGAAATAAATACGTTGAAACTTAATCACTCTGCCGTGTTAGATGTATGAAGCTTTTAAGGAAAAAAATGAGATATGAGACGGAAGATGATAACAACACTTCTCTGTACAAATAACATGTTTTAAAGGCCCATTATGCTTCAAAATTGCCTCAGAATCTTTTTATTTTTTGGTGCCCTGTAATAAATTCGAACAAGTTACTCATTGGTATTTGAATCTGAACCGTCTTTTGCTTCTGTTGCTTCTGTTACTTTTTTGGCAATTTGTACTGTTATAGAGCTTTAGTATTTTGTATGGAAATTGTTTACATTTTGCTACTTTCATAACAAATAATTTGACAATCAGCTCTACTTTCTTCCAGTGATATGCATCTTACATGCTCTGAAATAAGTATCTAAACACTACTCATATTAGCTGGTCTCGGATTTGACATCCTTAATTGTGCAACATCGGTGATTTTAAAGGTACATGTATTTCAAAGTGGTATGGACACATTACGACATCTTGTTCATCGTGGTGAAATGCATAAAAAAGGCATCTTTAAAAAAATCTTTTAAACTTATTTTCTCAAATTTGTTTGTTCTTAAAGACCAAATTGTTATAAAAATCTAATGAAAGTATTTAATTTCTTTTCAACCGACAGTTTATGCAACTGTAACTATTTAGTAGGCAACATTAGGTAGACTTTGTTTATACGTTCGAAAAGACGTAAGCAATTCTATCTCCTATTTTTATTTATTCATTTATTTACTGAATTTCCCTGTTTATGATTGCATTCAGTTGTATTTCTGTCCATATTGCAGTAAATTCTCTTTTTTTAAATCCTTACGGCGCTTAATATAATGAATGGACTTGTCCACCTCTTAATGAAGACAAAACCATTCATCATTTATAGGGAATGTTGCCAAAACATAAATTGCTTGGATAGGGAACAGTAGATAGTCAGGATATACCGGCTGCTCAGGATTTTCGTCCGGCGTCCTACGGAACGAGAATACGGCATAGCTCAAGTCAGCAACCATTTGGTTTATTGACATATGTTTACTATGGAATGCCGGTAGGGACATGCCACTTTGCTTATTTGCCAACTACTTAATTGATTATTTGCTAATTGCTGATTTGCCAATTTGTTTATTTGCTGATTTGCCATTTGCTTATTTGCTAATTGCTTATTTGCTTATATACATAAATTTTTCAGGCGACACATCCGACTCGCGAAGTTCTTGTTTAATACAAAATAACAAGTCTTTGTAGACTTTATTTCAAGCTCATGAACCAATATCATGTTATTATGTTTATAAAGTTTTGTTAATTATAACTTGTGACAATTATGATCAATCCATCATTACCTAGAATATAGGTAGAAAGACAGATGGATACATTTTAATCAATATAGAAAAAAATAAATTCAGTTTCAGAAAGTAGTTGTTTTTTTAATTATCTTGAGTTTCAGTTTTAGCACCACTATTCGGGATGCTATTCTACCCACCAATGCATTGGTTTTCTTGGTAACTTGTTTTTCTGTCATATCTCTGTTACTTTTGCTGATTCATGCATCTTACTGCAACTTTGCATAAACTTTGAATTACAAGCATGCATACAAAGTACATGTACATGAAGAAGCTGTGCCCGTTATATACTGAGGGTTAAGGTCACCAATGTATTGTACTGAGAAGCCTTTGTTTTTCTGTCATATCTCTGTTACTATTGCTTATATCTAACTGTAACTTCACATAAGCATTAAATAGGCAGCATGCATACACAATATTCAAAAAGGCTTTGTCCATTATGCCCTAGGTCATGATCATGGTCATGGTCACCTGATAGCATGTAAAATGTACAACATGAAAAAATGGAAAAGTGTGACCAAATTTCAAAAACATTGAACCAAAGCAAAATATTGATGCACACACAGACATAAGTGATCTCAAAATCTTACAGAGCTAAAAACGAAGCCTATTGCTCAAGTGCAAAGACAAACACCCGTGTTAAGCATGCACCAAATGTATCATTCGTGATACTATGTGTTCGTACCACTAAAATGAGACCCTCTGTGACAAATCTGCTGAGAATAACGACATTTTATATGCCATAAATAAGAAATAGTTTTGTTTTCAAGTTCTTTTATTTTCAATCTTTACCCAAGTGTTTATTATGCCATCAATCTCTGACTTAACCTGCACAAACAGATCTATAGCTGCAACACATTATAAGGCATTCTCAAGCACAGATGCTGGCGGGTCAGATCCTGCCCCTAACGTGATACGCGTCTGTAAACACTATATCAAAACTATTTTAATATTTATTTAAATACGAATTGGACATTTGTTACAACGATAAAACCATTAAGTACTTTATTGAGACTTGGTGGTATATGGTATTTTTCATACCGGTATATGTAATAATTGCTTGAAAACCAGTTTTAACGATGTCCAATTCGTGTTTAAATATTAAAATATTTTAAAAAGGGTGTTTACAGGGGCACGTATCACGTTGGGATACGGGACCTGACCCCAAGCGTCTGTGTTCTCAAGGAAATGTCAGCCATCAGTTGTAGACATATATCTGCGTAGGCATCACTGCAACTAAATTCATTGATCAACAGTAGTCTTGGAAAAAATACTGAATTTACAAGAATACTGTTAGTAAAAGTAAACAGATCTGACTCAACTGGTTGTCTGTAGTCAGATTTTCCATATATTTCCGGCACATTGTAAAGTATTTCTATTGCAAAAAAGCAAATTAGCAATTGGCAAATAAACAAATACGTAATCCAGCGGTTAACAAATAAGCAAATTAGCAATTCAGCAATTGGCAAATAAGCAAATTTGTCGTTAAGACTATCAGCCATTGGCAAATAAGCAAATCGGCAATTAGCAAATAAGCAATTCAGCAATTGGCAAATAAGCAAATTAGCATGTCCCTACCGGCATTCCATAGTTTACGTATATGTATTTGATAACTATGTTTCGTAATATAATATCACTTCTCTTATAAACCCTACATGTAGTAATGTACTGTGTATCATTTACATTTTATATCATTTCATGATTCAATTAATTGCTACCTAAACCCGGAAGTTGTTAAATATCTGTCAAAAAAAACGTAGATAAAGGTAGGTAAATCTTATGTGAACGTCTTTCCTGTGGAAGGGTTATATGTTACTTTTGATTATAAGTACCCTTAAATATACTATACTTAGATGTCTGTATGAATTGAAGGTACATTTATAACATAACGAATTTAGCCTAAGAGAAAATAAAACAAAAATCTCAACTATGTACACGCAAGTTTTAATATGAGTTAAATTGAATTTCTTAATATTTAGGAAACTCTTTACTGATTGTAACACATTCGCAATAAATGGTCAATTGTTGACCAACCTTGTCATTATAATGCGGTACGTACGAATTGGTAATATTGATTTATTTTTGCAAGTACTTTGATGCTACAACACCTGGAATGTTTAATAAAGCGAGTTTGTGGCGAGATTGAAAACATTCCATGAAATGTCATGCGGAGTTTTATCAAAAAGGTCTATTGAAGTGTCGAAGACGCCAACGGGCGGGTAATGGCAATCCATCCAATTTTTTATTCGAAAAGTAGAGCTAAAATAAGCCCATTGAGAGGGAAATAATGGTTCAAAAAATGACTAGGATTCAAACCAGTGACACTCCATAACATATGAGCCGCGTCACAACAAAACCAACATAATAGGTTTGCGACCAGCATGGATCCAGACCAGCCTGCGCATCCGCGCAGTCTGATCAGGATCCATGCTGTTCGCTTACAAACCATGTAACAAGTAGAGAAACTGAACTATCCGGTCGACCAGCAATGATCTCGGATAAATAACACATGATTTTGTTTAAAGACAGCACGTTTGTTTTTTCTTTTCAATATATTTATTATAATTATTAACAATATTGAAGTTTGTCATTTTGCATTTTCACTGTTGCTCCTGTAATTAAAGAATGTGTGTATATAACATCATATGTTTGGAAATAAACATTCAAAATATAGAAAAGAGATTTCTTCAAAAAAATTTAGTGCAAATGAGGAATTTTAAGGTATGTTAAAATGGATTTACGGTAGAGTTAAAACACTGTTGTGACCAAGGTTAACTGTTATTAAGTATTTTGTCAGTTTGTTCAAAACATGGTATTCCTCCTTTGAAAGTATATGAGCCGCGTCACGACAAAACCAACATAGTGCGTTTGCGACCAGCATGGACCCAGACCAGCCTGCGCATCCGCGCAGTCTGATCAGGATCTATATTGTTCGCTTATCAACTCTATTATAAGTAGAGAAACTGATAGCCCCGATCAGACTGCGCGGATGCGCAGGCTAGCCTGGATACATGCTGGTCGCAAACGCACTATGTTGGTTTTGCCTTGACGCGGCTCATATTCAAACGGACACTGAAGTCACATGTATTACAAAGTTTTAAAAAAATCGGCAATAATAAATTAAATGCGACGTAACTAATTCAAAGCTAAAGAAATATAATGATGCTTACCTTTTCCACAACTTAACTTATTTAATCTTTAAACCTTTTCCTCTTTTAAGCGTGGTTTTTCTTTTCCGGCCAATCGTTACGCCACCGTTTAGATAAGTCTGCAAACGATATATTATTTAGCCGCGTCACGACAAAACAAACATGGTGCGTTTGCGACCAGCATGGATCCAGACCAGCCTGCGCATCCGTGCAGTCTGATCAGGATCCATGCTGTTCGCTATCAGTTTGTCTACTTGTAATAGGGTTCGTAAACGAATCCATGCTGTTCGGTTACCAACCCTTTTACAAGTACGGAAACTGATAGCAAACAACATGGATCCTGATCAGACTGCGCGGATGCACAGGCTGGTCTGGATCTATGCTGGTCGCAAACGCACAATGTTGGTTTTTTCGTGACGCGGCTCATATCAAATATTAGTATTACAATTATACATAATGAATCTTTAATACATGTATTATAAAAATATCCAACAAATTATATTCTGATTCCATCTATTACATGAATTCAGATCATATGAATTTTGTATTGGTAATAATACAAAGATCAATTTTTATGTAGTATTTTCAAATTCAAAATCTGCACCATATTAAAGATATTTCAATGTGTTTTCTGAATAAGAAACCACAATTTTGCGGTCAGTATCCAATCGCACCTTTTCGGCCCTTTCCCCAAGTCTTCGGATAAGGACCTCAAACATAATAGTATGAATACATAGAACGGATACGGTATTTCGGTCTAACCTACGCTAGGACACTAGAAATGTAAACAAATGGTCATTTATTGCTTGGAGTTGTTGACAAGTTTATTTCCAATATATCAAGTAAATGCCCAGCTAATAGAATGGAATTTATAGATACAAAAGCAAAAAATACATTATTTGTATATCATATAATGTATTATGATTATAGAAACCGAAAGTACAAAATGTCAACCAGCTGACTTAGTCGCACTTGATTAAAATTGTATATCACTGGGCATATTTAAATTAAAAATGGTTGTCAGATATATTTTCAATCATAATTGTACCGAAACAGACTTAATTTTCTTTTGGATGGCAATTTTATGTACAGTCTTTGCTTTACATTCTCTCCCTTTTTGTTACGTGGTAGAACTACTGTTTCCAAGACGTTCCGATTGCATCAGTATCTTGTTTTCTTCATTATCGAAAACAAAAACATATGCATTTGCCAATGTTTTATACACAGATACAGCTACATTTTATATGTCAAAACTTACATGTACCACAGGAACACTGTGAGTGTTGAAATCGCATTCAATTGCATTCGTGCCTTGCTTGCAATTACAATAGTATACATCCATGTTGTTTTTTGGAACAACTGGTATTTTGTCTTTTAGTGTAATTAGGTCATGTCCTGCTGCAATCCTGAAATTGTAGTTACTTAACTTTTTAGTTTTTGTTCCTAACTGTTGAGTTTGTATCATTTGCATATCGCCATTGTTACTGTATATTCATGTACATTTGTATAAATATATATATTATTACATATAGTATATACATTAGATGTGTATGTGAAAATTTTGGACGATTATTTTTATTTTTTTACGGATAGTTGAAAGAAAAAGTAGCACAGTGGTTTCTTTGTTTGTCCCCGGCTTCGATGCTGTATGGCCTTTCCATGCTTTATACCTAATGTAATAAATGTACATTATGACAACAAACACTGATAACATTTATATAGGATTTTATATTTGCCTTGATCACATACTTGTTTTCATTTCATTCAGCAGGCTAGTTGAATGAACACATGACCAATCATAGAGTGTCCACGTGCCAGTTTAAAAAAATAGAGTCTTGAAATATTTAATTTTTAATGCTTTTAATAGATACATTGTGTGGCAGTACTCTTATTCCGTGAAAATTTCAAAAACTGATTATAATCATTATTATAAAACAAAGAAATTTGGTGGATAAGGTAGCTGCCACACAACCCAGGGATTGTCGGTTCGAGCCCTAGTGTGGTTGAGGCAATGTTTGCTTCGTCATATGACATCAGTTCTGCACCATTTCTAGTTTTCTTTAAGGAAGCGAACCTTTATAAAAATTCTTTTTAACCGAATTTAAATTTTGTTTTTGAAATTTGTTGTTTTTTCCCTGTTTTATGTGGTTTTAAGCTCCTATTTGACCATTTCTCGGCGGTCGATCCACATAATTATATATAAAAGTATCCAAGTGACCGACCCTTTATCTAACGTGATTTTTTAATCAGCAGTGAGAGACAAATAACCATTTAAATCAATGTCCGGAGAAATTAAGCCTCGTCCAAGGATCGAACCAGCAACGTCTGCAACGTCTGCATTACCAATCTGATGCTTGACCTATTGAGCTAAACGGGCACAAAGTGAACTTTAATCAATAATTATCATTAAATTTAAGCGTTTATATATATATATATTTACCTCCAACTCTCAGCAAAACTAGTAGCAACTGTGCCTGTTAGTTGGAAAGAATCAACTTTACCATCTTTGTGTCGGAGATCGTTACCTCTGTTGTGGTCAAACGTTCCACACAAACCTCGAGTAGCTCCAAAATCTTGGTCAGGAGCCGTCACTGATATATCTAGTGCATTTCCAACCACGTTTACTCTTAACTGAGCACCGGAAAGAAAATCAACCTGAAAGCATTTTAGTATTATCATTTAATAGGTACAAAATTATTCACCCTGTGCCTTTAAGAACTTTATCTTCGGATACCAAAGTCTTATATAGTATACGTGTTTATCCTGAACAAGAAATAGTTTTAAATTTAATTTCCAAAGTAATTATTTCTATATCTGACAAGATTTAATTTTATCTCTAGAAATGTCGAATCAATGCATGTCTTTATATCATAATGAATTTGGCATAAACAAGAAGAAACAACGTGGGGAAAACAGAAACTAGTTATTTAAAAGGATATTCATCGCATATAAGGGAGTGTGGTAAAAGTCGAAAATTAGCACCTTAAAAACAATCACGCTTTTAATTGTCAGACGCAGAAATAAAGTATTCTAATCTATCAGAAAGGATTAAATTGGTACCAAATAGGTCATGAAAAACGACTTTATTGAAAATGTCGTATTTTCAGTATGATTGAGCCTGTTCTTTGACGGAAGTGATAAATGCAAGCTACCGTCTACCTAGTCCGGGCTCATTAAAACCGTTTTTTTTTTTAAATCAAATTATTTCATTCCGTTATAGACACAATCTGGAAAGAAGGGAAATGTCTCAAGAGAACCGAAAACAAAATTAAAAAGGCGAAAATTTTGCAGACTCGGTTTGATTGAGTCTGTTCATAAGAGATAATTTATTGTGCATTACCTGTAACGCCCCTAGCAGTATAAAATCCTCAACATATACCAGTATTTGAATTAATGATTCAGAAGGAAAAGGAAAATTATAACAACTCTGTGATGATATAACAATCTGGAAAGGGGGGGGGGGTATGTTCTTAAAACAATCGATATCAATAAGAACATTGATTATACATGTATTGTAATGTTGCTTTCATTTTTAAGCCGGTGTTAGAGGGATTCATTAAACCAAAGATGTAGCATTTTCAGGTTCTCCGTGCTAGACTATCATAAAAGTTCTCATTTTATCATGTTTAAGAAATTTGTTATTCTTAGATTTTATATAGTATATGTCCCGAATAAAGAAACTGTAGATATAACGGCTTATTACTAAAAAGTCTGCCCCGGGCGCATCTCTGTGTATTACTGCTCCTGCAATATTTAGAGGTGTAACAATTGGATACCTGCGTTGACATTTATCTATTATAATGATTTCATTTCCCTCTCTGGCTGCCACACCACATGCACATTCGCTGCCCTGACACGTTCCCACAAAAATATCGACCTTGATGTGAAGACACAAAATTAAGCATAGTACTTTTGCGTAGTTATTTGTTTTTTTTTTCATCTGATATTGATTTGTTTAATATTTATTCATGTAGTCGATATTAGGCATACAAAAGCAGATGTTAAATAGCGGTAAAATTTTATTGATTTTACTTTTAAACAAAATTGAAATTCTGCAGGGTGCATATATTTCATAGGAAGGCCAAAGAAATGTAATTATGAATTCCAATCTAAGCTGATGTCAAAGTGTATATGAATTTTTTAATAACTTATACACGTAAAAATTAAATAATTCAAACCTGAAAAGGTCTACTTGTGCTTTCATACATCGTAAATTGTCCAGTAAGTCGTACGGCATAACTTCTATATATGAAAAATAATGATGTATTGAAATATTTACGCTGATGAAGCATTTAAGTAAAACTTGTGAAATATAAATCTTAACCTATCGGCCCCTTTACTTTAATTTATCATAGCATTTCATCTCCTTTCCAAAAAAGAAATCACAGCCAATCGTAAAAATAAATATTTCGGAATAAAGTTATTTGCATTATAACGAGCACATGCATTATACACGAATTTAACAGCACATTACGAGTCATATATTACACACAAAATGAACAGCACATTACGAGTCATACATTGGACACAAATTTAACAGCACATTACGAGTCATACATTATACACAAATTTAACAGGATATTACGAGTAGTACATTTTACACAATTAAACAGCACATTACGAGTCATACATTATACACAAATTTAACAGCACATTACGAGTCATATATTACACACAACTTTAACAGCACATTACGAGTCATATATTATACACAAATTTAACAGGATATTACGAGTAGTACATTTTACACAAATTAAACAGCACATTGCGAGTCATACATTATACAACAGTTAAATAGCATATAACAAGTCATATGTTATACACAAATTTAACAGCGCATTACAAGTCATATATTAAACACGAATTTAACAGCACATTACGAGTCATATATTATACACAAATTTAACAGCAAATTACGAGTCTTACATTTTACACAAATTAAACAGCATATAACGAGTAGTACATTATACACGAATTTAACAGCACATTACGACACATACATTGTCATACATTGGACCAAATTTAAGAGCATATTACGAGTAGTACACTATACACAAATTAAACAGCACATTACAAGTCATACATTATTCACGTGTTAAATAGCATATTACAAGTCATATATTATACACAAATAGCATATTTCAAGTCATATATTATACACAAATAGCATAGTTCAAGTCATATATTATACACAAATAGCATATTTCAAGTCATATTTTATACACAAATAGCATATTTCAAGTCATATATTATACACAAATTTAACAGCATATCACGAGTCTTCACTCGGAGATGTTAAACCAAATCTTGTACAAATACTTACATGAAATGACATCATTTTATTAAGATTTAAGAATAAATGAAACATGATTTATTTGCCTTACTTGTCGATGGTATCTTAAACAAACCAAAACACCTCTTACATTCTTCGAATATAGAAAACGTCTTTCATCTTGAAACATCATTATGTAGTGTTTGTATAGACTTCCAGAAAATACGTGAAGTAAAATGAACAGAAATTTCAGTATAAGAGAAACTTACGACCCAGTCCTTGTTGAATTTGTATCCAAAGTTGTACATTGCATGTCCCCGACACAAGTACATGTTGCTTGTTTTATTTGTTTTATATGAACCTGTGAAATGTGAATTTATTTAAATACAACAGTTTAAATAACGTACAATAAACTGAATATGATTGTTTGTGCAAGGAGATTCGTATGAAACAGAAAATTTGATTGAATTGTATGAAAAACACACACAACATATTGAAATGTGTAGGTAATGTTTGCTCTGCTAAGTTTCACATAAAAAGCGTCACAAGATAAAAGTAAATGTTCATTTTGATAATCTTAAAATGAAACGATTAACTTTATTATTTAAAAAAAAAAAAAAAAAAAAAAAAAAAAAATTCAAATTTAGAGTCATTTGAAACAATAAAAATGCTTCTTCCGGAAAAACGTAGTGAGCAAATGATCGGAAATTTTGACAAACATCAAATATACGCTCCTTTACACAGACCGTTACTTCAAATGATATTGACGGAAATTTCGAGCGATCCCCAATCCTTGAGGGTACATCAAATAGTACACAAATTAAGAAAAAAACGATTAAAAAGCCTCAGTGGAATCCCTTTTATGCGCTATTACAGATTTGTACTGGGGATTGATGTACAAATAATATTACAATTTATATCATATACTTTGCGGAACTTACAAAACAGCAGAACTGTATACAATGTGGCCACACCACGTGACTTTTCGGGTACGGATCACACCGACTTTCATCCGATTCAGGTATGTTTTTTATTCATAACTTATTTATTACTCAAACGATTTTGATCAGATAAGGCGTAGAGTATCCGTAATTATACCAGCTTTCTACGGTACATGTATATCTGAAAACCCATGAATGGTTTTTGAGAACATTCGAGTACAGTTTTGTTTCATAGCCGAGGGCCAGGGGAACGGTACACACTCATTTGTCTAGCAAGTTGTATTTTTTGTCACTATTTCATAGAAAAATACATGTTAAATTGAATAGATTTACAATGGCCAGTTTATCAAGTGAATGCAGTGATGTTATAGCATATTTTTATAAAATTATGTTGAAATGGTATGGAACATACAGGTTTTTTTTCGAAAGATACGGTACAAACAAAATTTCTGTCTTTGAAATAATTCTGAAATAAAATATATGAAAATTTGATTTTAATTATAATGTGAATGATTTTTTTTCATACTTATATATTTTATTTATTTAAACGAGAACCCTGTGACCTGTTTTGCATTGTATCATTATTGCTTACAGCTTGATGTAAACAGAATTATTCAAAAATTGAAGAACATTTTCTGAGAAAGTCGCGCACAATCCGATTTTAAATGTTGAGCAATTAATATTTGGCTATAACATGTTAATATTACAAGTTTTTGTCGAAGAAGTGATTTATATGAAATTGAGAAAACAAAAGTAGACATTCTTTTTTTCAAGAAATGCAATTTTTATATACACTTTAAATGTTAATGTTTATGTGTGCATTTTATTTTAAGAGATCGCGCTTAACATTTACGACCTTCATGTAATTGTCACATTTAAAATCAACTAGGGTATGTTAAACGATTCGATCTTTACAGAATCATGCAGTAACCTTTAAAATGATTGTTCTATAGATGTTGTTGATAGAAACATTTTGTAATAATGCTGTGTTTGTTATTGTTGTTTTTTTATGATAATCCTTTACTTTTTCAGAGAAATGAATAGAGAGACCAGCTCGTATGTATGTAGTGCATGTAGTAGAGTTCAGTTCAAGTCAAAATCCACCTTAAGTCAGCACGAAAAAAGATGCAACAGTTTGGCCCCATATGTTTGCTAAAAGTTGTTTCCTGACTGATGCTTATTCATATGGTCACGCATTATAATTGCAAGCATTACAGGACACAAAGTCTTCTCTTTCTTTCTTCTGTAACGGGGGAGGTCATCTCTTATGACAAAACCTTTACCACAAATAGTACCACAAATAGGGCAAATGTGGGATTTTGTCTCGCCTTGTGCATTACATCAACGACATGTAATATTTACGTTGGGAAAGAACATCTTTCCAAAGCAAACATATGGGGCCAAACTCTTATCTTATTTCGTGCTGATTTAAGATGGATCTGTGTGTTCCGTACCATTACAACACAAGTAAAATGGTTTCCTGCGGGGAACATTTTTAATGATATAAAGATATTTCATTTATTTTCAACATTGTTTGGGGGGATAAATAAACGTTTGTATCAGTAATATAGTTGACAATGATAGATCAATGTAGAAGAAGGTCTTTGGAAACTGGTGACCGTTGATGACCCGAGAAGGTCGAACATAAAACAATTATTTCTTTTTTAATAAAATGATTAAATAGGCCTACCATTTTATGAATAATTCCGAGCATAAAAATTAAATATATAAATAAAGTAAACACACAAGTTTTCGCAGAAAATATCTCTATTTATTATGGCAGATGCCACTACGAATATTTTAATTTTGTGGATTTTCAGTATAAACAATTTATTGTTGTTACATTTTGAGATACATATTAAAGAAACATTGAATAACACATCATTCAAGTTTTTTCCACCTTAAACGGTAACATTATTATAGAAAATTAAAAATATCACGTAATAGTTTTTTGTTCTTAATTAGGTGTGGACTCGGCCCGGTGAATTTTCGTACTATTAGTTCTATAGTAAATCAGTCAAATTTGAGGTTTAATTCTGGATTCCAATGTTCTTGATGAATTATATACTGTCTTCAACTTTAAACATTAACACTATCTAAGTCAAATGATGCCCAAAATATAATAGGTTAGCCATCTATTTTTTTCAGAAATCTTCATTCTGTTGTAACACTGTTTAAATTCACCACTTTAAAAACTCCTGACAGCTGGTGGGTAGTACATCTTTAATCCTGCCACCAACAAATGAGTTCCTGGAGAATACACACAAAAAAACAACTTTTAAAGTCATCATATAACACACAAAAACTACACACATGCAATAAATACACTTTAATTATGAACAATCTAACTAGAGATGACTTAAATTGGGCCATTTAATAATTTTAAAGAACTACTTTCTAGACTACAATGGGCTGGGTCTAATTCCGTACCGGGTTGAGACCGTGTAATCTAGAGGATTATCCGTAACGTACCGGCAAACGGTATTTAGCCAGGTCTTCGAAAAGGTCAATTAACCAATCATGTACGGTTTACAGATCACATGCTCCTCCATGTACCGAAAACAGGTCACGTGCT